ACACACACACACACACACACACACACACACACACACACACACACACACACACACACACCGTGGCAACAAGCACGAAACACAAATCAGCACAGGATGTGAAAAACTTTCAAAATAAAACAGGAAACAACAGTAACATCTAAAGACATCTTCAGTTTTAATTGAATTTAAGAGTTTACACTTTTTTTAAATCTTACTTTATCATCATTTAATTTGTATTTTTGTTAGAACACTTAATTATTTGCCAGCCAGAGCAAAATGAGATAAATGTACGGAGAACATTTTGAGAGGAATGAGGACATCCTCACTGCCCCGGGTGGTGTGTGAAATCATGGAGAATGAGCAAAGGAGGAGGAGGAAGATGGCTTGTTTCGTTATCTCCTACCTGCATCGCCCACATTTAACCCGACCCCCGTCTCAACTCAAAAGAAGAAATAAATTGATAAACTCAGCAGCTTCAATTAACAAGCATCTGCAGATTATTTATAATCTTTTATTCAGCCAACTCGTAAAAAATAGGTTCCCGCCCGGTTCACTTTGTTGACGCCTCTAAAGTGTTTCTTGTACACGCTTCGTGTTTTCCTCCACAGATTTGTTTTATTGGTTGAGTCCTTTTAGTTTCGTTTAAACCTCTTTTTAAAATTAGCATTCCACTTTAATGAGCTTATAAAATAAAGTATAAAATGTGTTAATGTTCTTTTTTCTTTACCAAACGGACTTCAAGCTTTCTCCTTTAAACTAAAAGTTTTAATATGAAATTTGGATTTTATTTATTTATCTGTGATCTGAAAGAGATTTGCCTGGTTCAATAAATAAATAAAACCTTATTATATGTAATTTATTACACATTTTGTGAATGGTGGCAGTTGAAGACCAAGACTGGCCACCCTTGCCTTGTGGCCATGTTTTACTACCTTATGTGTGCAATTGGCCTGTTTTTACTATTCTTCTTGTACATATTAGTTCAGTTGCATACACAGGATAAAGGTTTACACATAAAGTCAACAGATGTTCATATTCAGTGTTTGACTGTGCAACGTATGTTCCAGTCAGGTGGGAACATTACAATAAACCTCCTGTAAAACTGGACGGAAAACAAAAAAGATCTACGCACACTGACTGTGAGCACGGATCATAAAAGAGCAAATACATGCATGACTAGATCATAAATTATTTGCTTGAGGTGACAGGTTAGCTTTACAACTTTATTTGATGATGCCCCAGGATGCAGCTTTGTGTGTTCATGTGTGTGTCTTTGTGTATGTTAC